ATATTTTATTTTACTATTTAATATTTATACAATTATTATATCTATTTATATATTAATTATCTACTTATAAATACATATACTATATTACTTATATTTCTTATCTACTTAATCTCTACTTATATTTCTTAATACATACATACATACTACATCTACTTAATATATACTTTATATAATAAAGTATTAAATATACTTTATAAACTATTACTATATACTTAATACATAATAATATCTACTTCTCTACTTAATTATATCTATTTTATATATACTTATTTTATAATATAATATCTACTTTTATATATACTTTATAATATCTATTTTATATATACTTATTTTCTTATTTTCCAATCTCCAATTCTCCATTATACTCTAATATTTAATTCTTATACAATTATTATATCCACTTAATACATACATTCTACATCTACTTAATATATACTTTATATATTAAAGTATAAAATATAAGTGTATTACTCATCTTATAGTAGTATACTTATATATTATATACTATAAACATTATATTATATATTACTTACTATATCTAGTATTGTACTAGTTAATTAGTTAATTAGCATTCTTGTTACATTTATCATTATAATAGTTAATTAGTTCATTACCATTATTGTTACATTTTTCATTATACTAGCTAATTAGTTTATTAGCATTGTTGTTACATTTGTCATTATACTAGTTAATTAATTAATTAGCATTGTTGTTACATTTTTCATTATACTAGTTATTTACTTCATTAGTATTCTCATTAATTGTTAAAACAACTCTACTTCAATAAACTAGTTAATTGTCATTAATTCATTATAGTTAAAGTCACATTTTCTTATTTTCAATTTATATTTGTAGGAAGAAATAGTAGTTCAATCATTTAATTAAAGTACTTAACATTTTATTTAAGTAGTTTTTACTAAATTAAAGTACTTCAAAAGTTGGTATAATTTTAATTTTACAAGTCACACATTAATTCTACTTTGCACTAAATTAGTTTGAAGTATTAATTAAAATAGTTTTAATAAGTTGCATTAGTTTTGTATCCATTATTATATTGGTTGTCAATTAATATTTGTTACATTTTTAAGATGGAAAGTGGTAGATATTCGGTTGATTTGGATAACCTCCAACGCAATCGAAGGAACGAGATTGGGAGGAAGAAATCCCGCAAAGGTAAAGAACTTGCCGGTTCTTCATCTCAAAGCCGAGATGATTTTGAAACGGGTTACCAAAGGCGAGATGGAGATGCGATGTCCGAAGAACAACTCCAACAAGAATTGGCCCGACATAATAACCGCTTTCTACAACAACAACAAATGTCGACGACCATTGACGAAGAGGAGCTTGAGGATGAAGATGCGGAGGAATTGGAACCGGAGACGGCCGAGGAGGAGGGTGCCGGCAGCCACGACGCCGACGAGCCTGCCTCATCCCAAACCGCCACCGGTAATAAAAAAAAGTAAGTCTAAACTAATGAAAAATAATTCTGATAAATGGAAGGACCCACAAACCGGCTATTGGCACGCAACTTGCAAGTGGTGCAACAACAATTATAGTTTGGGAACCTCCGGCGGATACGGATCCGCCGCAAGGCATCTTAAGGCAAAGCACCCCGTGGAGTATGCAAAATTAGGCGGCGGAACGGGGAAGCAAACTCAAATATCGAGGTTTGCGAATTCTCAACCTTTTGGTAATTTCTCCTACAATGATGCACAAAATTTGACTGGTATGGCTATCTTAATTTGTGAAGAAAATTTGCCTTATTTGTTTTCTGAAAGTCTTGCTTTAAGAGATTATGCACAAGGTAGTTTAAATCCTCAATTTAGAAATTATAGTCGCAAAACTGTTAAGAAAGAAATAATAAGGCTTTATAATGCGGAAAAGGTAAGATTACAAATTTTTTTTGCAAACTTTGAAGGGCGTGTTACTATTTGTTCTGACATATGGGAGGATGATTTTCATCATTTATATTATTTGGGTCTGACTGCACATTATATTGATGAGGATTGGAATATGCATAAACGTGTTCTTGCTTTTCGTGAATTTAATGATCGTCACACCGCTGAACATATTTATATTTTGATTGAGCATATTTTAATTGAGTATAATTTGATTGATAAGGTGTTTGCTATTGGTTTCGATAATGCTACTAATAATACTGCTGCTATACCTAGATTGCGTGAGTTGTGTGGTGCCAATTCTTTGATGGGTAGATTTTTTCATCAACGTTGTGCATGTCATGTTATAAATTTATGTGTGCAAGACGGTTTAAAAGCGTTAGGAGATTCCATGGAGGTAATCAAGGGGGGATTAGACGTATTTGGGGTAATGGTCAACTTAGATTAAAATGGCAAACTTATTTGAATGAAAGAGGTGTGAGATATGTTGCTTTTCCTAAAGATTTGAGTATTCGTTGGAATAGTACTTATAAATTACTTAAAGTTGTTCTTAGATATAAAGAACATTTTCCTGCTTTTTTAAAAGAACATGATAACTATATTATAAACGCGGCTGAGATCGACACTTGCGAAAAAATTTGTAATGTTTTGATATATTTTTTTAATGCTACTGAAACTTTTAGTCATGTTTATAAACCTACCGCAAACTAATTTATTCCACAAGCTGTTAGTCTCGCCGATGCTTTTAAAGAATTTCAGAATGCCGTTTTCGTTCATTATTTTTGTGATCATATGAAGGAAAAGTTTTTAAAATATTATGCGCATATTCCCCATATTTATGGTATTGCATTTATTCTCGATCCTCGTTATAGACTTGCTAATTTGGAAGATTGTTTCAACTTCTATTATCTTGCGTTTTTCGGTGATTTTCCAATGTATGACGATAACCCCATAGATCCGAAAACGGAATACAACGAGGTTAATACTTCATTTTATGCCTTATTTAATGAGTTTCGTGCACAATATAGCAACACTCCCCCTCCCCCGTCACGAACATCTTCATCTAAAGGAAAATCGATTTTTAAATCTGCATTTGGCAATCTTATGAAAAAACTAAAACAACTCACGTCACTGAACAAAGCGCATTGAATGAGATTACTTTGTATTTAACATATGAAGTTGATTTTGAAGAAAATGATGACTTTGACGTTCTAGACTGGTGGAAGTCAAAAGAAAGAACGTTCCCGATTTTAGCTCGGATGGCTAAGCAAGTACTATCAATGCCGGTTTCAACAGTTGCTGTGGAACAAGAATTTAGTTCGGTCGGCAACGTCCTAACGGCATCTAGATCGAGATTGAGCGCGGAGTCTCTTGAGACGCTTATATGCTACCACGATTGGTTGAAGGCCGCACGTAGAACTCAAGAATTGAGCATCACCCCCTCCCAAGATTTTATGGATGACTCAACAACCAATGGTGGCTCTACCTATGCCGGAGATTCCGATTGATTAGTATTTTAGAATTTATCATAAAATATATTTTATAGCACTTGTCAAATTTATTTATACTTGTACTTCATATTTCAAAATTGTAAACTTGTACTTCATATTTCAAAATTGTAAATTTGTAGTTGTACTTCAAATTAATTTGTAAACTTGTACATCATATTTCAAATAAATATGTGTTCACTTTTTCATATGTAGCACTTCTCAAATTAATTAATTGGTTACAATCTAACGACTTAAAATTATTTTTCTAAAATATAAAGCCGGTTTTTAAATTAATAATACATTTACAATATGTAATTTGTTTAAATACTTATACACCTATTTTGTAACATTTGTAAATTATAAATCAAACCACTTTTCTAAGTACAAATAGTTTTAGTTTTACTTAATTCATTAAATTAATTAATTTATTTTACAATATCTGTATAACTTAAAAAAAATTAAATCAAACCTCCCAAACGGCTATATAGCCGTTGGGGCTATGGGTGGGGGGCAGGGGGGTCCCGGGGGTGGTGGTGTGGGGAGTGGGGTTCAAAAACATCTATAAATACATCTATTTTCTAACATTTTTCTACACCTCTTCTCCAATTCTTCTCAAACTCTTCTCCATCTTCATCTTCTCTTATTATCCTACATTCCTACTTATACATATACCATTTTAAATATGGAAAGTACATCTTCCCTTATGCAAAACAATTTTGACAAGTGGAAGGACCCGAAGACCGGACTGTGGTGGGCAACTTGCAGGTGGTGCAAGAAAGAGTGTTGCTTGGGGCGTTCATACGGATACGGGATGCCAATAAAACATATGAAGTCCCGTGACAAAGGGAAAACAACAACCAACGGTGGCGGAAATCCCAATTGATATTCATTAGAAAATGTATTTCGTATTGTTATTTTTTCTCAATTCTCAAATGTAGTTCTTATTTCAAATAAATGCACTTGAACTTTGTTTTTAATAGCAATTTGTATAATAAATATATAATTAATAAAAAAAAATATGGCCCGGCCCGGCCCGGCGGGTGGCCCGACCCGTGACCCGGCCCGAACCGAAACCGGTCATTGACCGGGCCGGTCCCGGGCCTACCATTATAAGACCCGAGGCCCGACCGGGCCTTGACCCGGCCCAGACCCGAACCGGCCCGAGTCCATCCCTACCCATTTCCCTGTCCCATAGCCCACCCCCTATCCCCGGTTCGGGCCTCCCAGTACCGTTCCAGGTACCGCCCGACGGGCCGGGTCGGACCTGCACAGTATTGGGCCAACCCGTCCCAATCCATCCCTAATTGTAGTTGTCACTTGCCATGATTCAAATCTGAGATTTATCCCTTGTGCCACTCCCTATCTACTAATTAAGCTAGGCCCACTAGCAGAATAGTAGATAAGTTCATACTATGAGAATTAGCCCTGTGTAGAGAGACATGAACACATAAGTTAATAAAAAATTAAAAATGTAACTGAGCAATTCTCTTTATAGTAATTATACTTTCAATCAACCACTTCAGCCATGATATTAATACAAATTATACAAATTGTAAAGATGAACAACTATAAGGTTTATCTATTTACCAAGGTTAGTTAATTTAATTGTTTGCTCAGCTGTCGAGACAGAATTGATTATTACTATGAGGGGTGCAATGGCTGATTTACTCCGATTTTGCATCGTAGCCACAACAATCCATGAATGATGAATGACTGCTCCATTTAGGGGCTCAATAAACATTTACAGGATCAAGCATAATAGTTGCAAAAAAAAGTGAGACAATAATAGGCACAGCTTCAACGGAGTAATAAAACATCAAAAACCAAATTGAATTTATTGTGTTTCTTTACATGCATCAGCCTAAACTCAAGAATGGACGCGATGACCAGTAACCACAGCAACACTACACTCAAGCTGCAGCAGACTTTTGCTTGTTGTCTTCAAGAAGATCAGCAAGATTCAAAGCTTGTAGCAGCTTTGGCCATGACTCAGGTATTCCTCCAGGAAGATCAAACTCCAACAATTTCCCACGACACCGATAGAACTCCTCAACTGGTTGGCTCTGCAGGATGATCCCCCCCACCCCCCCAAAAAAAACATTTAAATGTGCAATGTGTTTATTTATTTATGTTATATCTAGCGATGGTCCCAGTCCGATTCAGTTCAGTACTTTAGTTCCCTTTCTGGAACGACCAACTCTGAGTCCAAAATTCATGCGGCCCATAACTGAAAACAACAGGTCTGGTCCACAGTTCTTGACCAATTTTTTAGTCCATAGAAAACAGATACCATCTAGCCTGCAAATGTTTTGGAGGAATCGGAACCAGTTTGGACTGGTTCTGGTCCAGAACTGTAAAAACAGCAACTGGTCTGGTTCTTTACCTGTCTAGACTTGCTCTGTTGAAGTTCTGGAACCGGGTCCATCCACATTTATATCTTTGGAGAACAATCCCTCATTCCCATTTTCAGCTTTTAACATGTGTAATATGCTGGCATGGTGCTAGAAGAATATTGTGATTCTAGACTTCTAGTTTTAGCATGAAGTTATAGTCTTAACAAATTTCACACAGAAGAATATTGTGATTCTAGCTATTGCATGAATTTATTATGGTGTTAATGAATTTCACAGTTAATTGATGCTATAAGTTTTCTGATACCGACACTAATAGTTGGATTGAGGTGGTGTTGATAATGATGATGAATAAATAAAAAGAAAAGGACATTGATAATGGGATTGCAATGAAGGCAAGTAAAATACCAATTCATTGTAGATGCGAAGGCGCTCCTTCACAACATCTTCAGAGTCATCAGCTCGCATTATCAATTTGGATTCACAAAGAGGAGGAGGAAGAAGGGGAGGCATATACATTCCAGGGCTTTCTTGTGTTCCCTTTATATCAATGCACGCGACATTGTAATTTCCTCCACATTCGCTGCACATCCTTCTCCCTAGACATTTTGCAATTATTGCATCCTCCCTAAGTTTCAGATTGATTACCAAGTCAATGTCTGTGACACCCTCTAAAATTTCCTGTTTTTCAAATAAAAAAGCATGAAATTCTTTCAAAACGTGGAAACAGATGGCAAGTATCATTGAAGGGAGAGTGGAGATAAAATAACAAAGAAATCATCCACTGCAACTCAGGAAAGCAGGCAAGCAGCAATGAACCACTTACATAGGAGGTAGAAACTAATGCTCAAGCTTGGAGTTGGGCATAGAATATGATGACAGGTGTCATGATCTTCGACCTGGTTCATTCTTTAAAGCTTTTCATAAATAAAGAGCGCCTCCACAAAGGGTTTGATTACATGACACATTATATGGACTCAAAAGATTAAAGAATACAATCTGCGTAAATTTATAATATTCGTACACCAGGTTAATACAGATGCAAGAACAGAGTCTCTAACTGGAAGCAACCAAATCAAAGTCTGTGTACAAGCCACTTTTGCATTAAAGTATATTGGTTATTGGTAGATGGAGGAATCAAATCCACAAAGGTGGGGGGATTAGGTCCTGGAAATTTCAAAACTTACGGGAAAATTAAGATGATCTGGTTTCAGATGCAACACTTCATTAGAATGCCGTATATTGTATTGAGTATTCATAGAGACTTAGGCACGCTACGAACAACACATCTTCAGCTTTGGAAGAACAAAGAGTCCAAAAGAGGGAAGAGCAATGAGTTATAAACAAGGAACATCAAGGGCAGGTTAGAAATTGAGGAAATGTAAAAGAAACTGAGAATCCCATTTCTGTGGGACTACACAGAAATCAGTGGTAATTGGTTCGCCACCAAGGAAAATAGTTATGATCCTAATTTTTCATATAAATCCACATTAATCGTTTAATTCACAGGTGAGTTGTAGCATGAAAAACTAAAATGAGAGAAATAATAAATAGCATTCTTTATCATGTTTAAAAGGAAACAAATCAACTGACATCAAGAAAGAACCAATATAAAAGTATCGAAAAGTTAAAGTGATTTATCATTCAATAAGGAACGTGCTATGTGGTTGAAGGCTTCATATAGCATGACAGCCAAATAGAACAAATTTCAGGGGAAAACAATCAAACAGTCTTTAAAAAAATCTGCATACAATTTGCTACTTCATGACAGCCAAATAGAACAAACTTCACGGAAAAACTGTGATATTTTGATTGTTTTTTCACTGATGAATAATACCTCAGTTTTAAAACAATCAAACAGTCTTTACAAAAATCTGTATGCGATATGTTACACTACTTCATAGTTCATACTTAGCCATTTGAATGGTATTAGCCTAAAGAGATCTAGTAAAGTGTCAATCAAGATAAAGATTTGCATGTAAGTGCACACACACACACATACTGACATACATTTAAACAGTGGCGGATACAGAAAAATTTGTTATTGGGGGCACCACTGATATACATGTAATGACAAAGCTCCTCTAATACTCCCTCTTTCCCATTCTAAGGTTCCCAATTTCCTATTTCGGACGTCCCACTTAAAGGTTCTCATTTTTGGGGGCACCACTGATATACATGTAATGACAAAGCTCCTCTAATACTCCCTCTGTCCCATTCTAAGGTTCCCAATTTCCTATTTCGGACGTCCCACTTAAAGGTTCTCATTTCTATCATAAGAAACAATTAATACTCTTAAAAGACAATTTAATCATTAAATATTAAAACTAATATATCTATAACACCACAATTATCATCAATGACCTCATTATATGATACAACCATCAAAGTTATTTCTTAAAATATACTCCAATTATCATATTTAAGTATTGTCTGAATAATTGTGACATTTTGCAATGGGAACCTTTGAATGGGGTGAAGAAAGTACCAAGTTATTCATTGAACAACCATAAATTTGAGAAGAATAGAAAGAAATGTGTCTAGAGCTAGTGATTATAGCTCAAATAGAAGTAAAATAAATAATTCCAAAATGTAAAAATAGGACTATAGTTTTATATGAACTTTTCCTCAAATATAAATGAATTAAATAATACCCATAGACAAAAATGTTATTTAATACTCCGTAACTTTTAGTGACTGAAATTCTATTCATAGTGACTATAAGGGTACTATTATAGTAATTAAGATGTAATACTCGAATATAATTATTATTATGGTCACTAAAAGTTATTAAGGCGCACTTTTGTCTACCCTTATTAAAAAGATTATGTTTGAAATTATTTCCTTTTATATTCCCAACATATGAGTAATTTATATACTCTCTTCATGTTTTAAATTTATAATAAAAACACAACAACAATAAAAATATTTATATAAAATAAAAACGTAAATAAAAAAACACATTAAGAAATGAAAAACTAAAAACATAAAAAGAAAATATGAAGTACATAATAAAAAATCACTCGCATCACCCAATAATTCCACGTATTGTTCTTGACATGAGGGCAAATCTCTCTTTCTTATTGGGGGCATTTGATTTTTCTTATCGGGGGCACCCCATAATTATTTAATAAAAATATTAATAAAATATAGTGTTATAAAGCTATATTATTACCATGTAAGTGTATCCGCCCCTGCATTTAAACAAACACACATGCATTATTATTCTGGATCAAATAAGAACAAGGCTTATCGTGAGGACGTGAAAACAAGCACTTTTACGCCAACATGATGCACAACGAAGCTCGTCTATTGCACTTTTTCGCGGCATAATACTTGCCAAAATGCTACTGTCTTTATTTGATATTGGCTTTATTTGATCAAAGTTAAAAAAGTGCAATAGACAGCCCCATTGTGCATCACATGGGGTTAAAAGTGACTGTTCTCACGTTCTCACAATAAGCCTAGTTCTCATTGGAACCGCACCCCATGTGTTTTTCTCATTGACATTAAGGAGTGCCATAATGGGTCCATCACAATTATATTTTGTGCAATTCAGAGTTTATAATCACACTAAATAGTGATATAAAAGAAAGATACTCCCTGTGTCCTTCAATAAACACCGACTTTGACCGGCCACACAGTTTTAAAAAATAGAAAGTTGTATGATTAAGATTTAATTGAAGATAGAGGAATAATATGAGCCACATAATACCTTCCTTAAATAGAAAGGAGAGATAAGTTTGGGACGGACATGAAAAATAAGTGTGAAGATTATATAACTACATATGTAGCCACACAAGTTCTGAACTTATGCTAGGCCAAATATCTAGAGGACAATGGACATGCCATTGGTATTAATTTAATATTTGAGAAAATTACTGCATAAAAGCTGCTCACCGCCTGTCTTATAGTTCGGGGAAATCCATCAAGAATGAAACCCGTTTCACCCTTGGATTCACCAGCCTCAAGTTGCTTTGACAGTAGATTTATTATGATCTCATCAGAAATCAGTTTCCCTTGGTTTACAATCTCTGCCAACTGCAAATACAAATAACAAAATAGTTTCGCTAAAAACATTCATCAAGTAAGATGATTAATCCAAACCCATCAGACAACTTCTATACATGCCGATTTCTGGAGAAACCAAAAGGTATTGCTAAAGGACCTAACCTCTCAAACTTAATGTAGAGTACTAGAGCCATGTTAAGCCATCTAACATTGAAAAAAAAAAAAAAACTAATGTTTATGATCTAAATGGCATATATCCCCTAGCCCTAAATGGCATAAGACGTTGCTAATATCAAATTAGCTACCGATCCAGAAAAAATTGGAAAAGGATAAGAATTTTGAGATTTAAGATTGTTTTGCTCCAGAAAGCGATCTTGTGGTCACATTAAGCTATCCCGGATCAAAAAGTTAAAAAGTTACACATAGATATATATATGCTTATGGGCTCCTTCGCATAAGGTATGGAATCCAAGTCTTAATATATCCTATTTTCTCGTTAGATCACTAAATCCATGCCATTGCTTTTAATTCTCTCAAGTATAGTACTATAGTAAGATTAATATCTTAAATCCTAAAAATTCCCTCTGTCCCTGAATTATCTTCCGAATTTTCTTTTCCGTCTGTCCCAAATAATCTTCCATTTCCTTTCCTGGCAAAGAATTTGTGGTTCACAACATTTCTTACCCATTTTTACACAATTTGCTCTCCTCAGCACAAGTCTCCATCACACATTACCCACCATCTTAATCCCCATGCCAAATGTACTTTGGAAGATAATTTCGGGACGGGGGAGTATATGACAATGGTAGAAGTATTAATGTTCTATAAATTAAAGCATCGATCCTAAATAATACTCCGTATAAAATATGGTGAAAATGAAAATATACATAAATATATATATATATATATATATATATTACCCCACGGATCATGATTGTATAGAACTACAGTAGCTTGTTAAACCACAGATCATGAAGATAGCATGCCACTAGAGGAATGCCAAAAAAATGGGCAGCCCGATGCATATTGGCATCCCCATAAGGTGAAGGTTCGGGGAAGGGTCCCACCACAAGGGTGTATAAGATCAAGCCGTCTCTTGTCATTTAGAGAAGAGACCGCTCCCAAGACTTGAGCCTGTGACCTCCTAGCCACTCGGCAACACCTGCGCCGAGGATCCCTTCACTAGAGGATGCCCAAGTTGCTAGCATAATTGTTCATGTTGATTATATTGAATGTATTAAACAAATTGTATACAAATTTATTAGAAAAAATTCTTTGTATGGACTCATCTTAATATTAAGTGGGATGATTTTTTTAACTGTATACTACTCCGTATTAAGAAAAGGCTCAATTTGTATGTAAGCATCGGCTGCATTGCAAATAGCCAAATAGCAATCGTCACTTTCAACAAACTAAACTGGGTCAAATACATCATCTAAACATGCGAAGCATACCGCAGTTAGAAAAACAGAGAAATTGAGGTTTACCTGGGCGGAAAGAGGACTACTGGTGGAGAGCTCCTGACGGACGAGATCTCCCGTTGAGATATGAGGAACGCCGAGAAGATTCGAGAGGCGAGCGGCATAGGTACCCTTGCCGACGCCGGGGCAGCCAAGAAACACCCACTGGACATTTCTGCCCTTGACCTGCTGCCCGGTCTGGACAGCCGCTGCAAGCTTCTTGTCTGCGTCTAAAGAGGGTGTCAAACAAAATCCGCGCATCGAATTCACGAACCTCCATCGGCACCTCGCAACTGATATGCCCAAAATCGCCATGGATCAGTCACTGTTTTGCTTAAAGAAATAGGACGCTTAAACTTTCTAAGCTTAGCCGGAAATTGAGCTGAAAGAAGGTTGCTTGAATGCTTGTGACGAAGCACGGAGATATTCTGCTGACCACATCTTTATGTGATGGTCACCAATACGTGTTTTTTTTTTGGATGAAATGTAAATATATATTAACACCCAGAAAAATTATACATCAAATGTCCTAGATCTCCTAAAACCTTCCCCACCCCACATAGTGTAGGGGTGGAAGGAGGTTTTTATTCGATCTATTCTATGCCAAAATAACCAGGTATAAAACCCGGGCCATCAAGAAGTTCAAAAATACATCAGTGCTGCACATGCACGCACACAGATCAGAGGCTAAATTCTAAAGAAATTACAAGGGTGCCGCTAAATCAAACACCATAATATCAAAGACTATGCTTCATGCCGCGGCATCCATAATGTCCATGCCGCATTGTATCAAGTTCCCAAGCCACGACATCCATAATGTCCATGCATCGGCTCACCAAGCAAAACGATCACCACTTTCACCCAACACTCCCCGTTCAGGCTTAATTTAAGCTGTAATTTTACGGGTGTAGACTGTAGAGCTTGGTACTTCCTTTTTCCATTCTTATATACGGAGTATTTTGTTCTTATCTTCCACTCACCTTCGTGGTAATATTACGTCTATTCCCTAAATTATTTAAATTTAAAAAAACAAATGTTTCATCTAAGGATATTTTACTTGGACTGAATTTACTGATCTATTCTAATCTGGTTTGTTTAAGTCTGTTTGATCTGGTATTATATGAATTGGTTTGGTCTAGTCTATTAAATGTCTAGTCTCCGTCTATTTAAAATTATGAAAGTCTGGTTCGATCTGATTTGTTTAATTATGATCTAATATGATTAAGTCTGGTTTGGTTTAGGACTAAAAAACAGTTCGAATAAAGACTTCCTAAATAAGGAGTATGATTTTTTAACGTATTGGTGTTGTTTGTAAGACTATTTACGGGATTTTTCCTATAATATTTCTTATGGATTAAAAAAAGGGTGATAATTTATAGAATCCTCAAAGGAGTGGCTAAGTATTATGTAGTATTATTGTTGTATCGATTCACTTAACATTAGTAGTTACTTAATCATTTACATATTTTACAAATTGGTAATGTGATAATTGTTAATAGCTTTGTGATGGTTTCTATTTTGAACTCAATGATACATTGATAAAGTTCAGTCCATTATGGACTGGATATTTTTGGTAAGCTTGGTCCGAAAGAGAATTTTGTGGTTCTCATCTATTACTTGTATTATGATGGCGTTTGTTTTTTGGCGGTTGGCAGCCAAACAAAAGAAAACTCAGCGTTTTCTTTTGTAAAACATTTGGCGGTTTGGCCAATCCGCTTGTTTCCAAACGGAGCCTATATGTATGATGTACGTGTAATGGTTCAGTGATGATGAGTCTCTTCATAACCTTGTATTTGTTACTTTACACGACCTAAGATCAATAAGGTGGAGAATGTTAGAGGTATTTGTCCTCTCGTCCACTTCTTCGTGTTAAGACCTCCCGTCCATTGTTAGCCCTATTCCTGTTTTTCCCTCTTCGATATGTTCATTACCTAACTCACATGGCCTTGTTTTGGCCTTGCTCGTTGTTGTCCTATATGTTGCCTTGTGTTTGGGCTCCCCTTTATTTGTCTTACTTTGACTCGTAACTTATTTGATTAGTGAGGCATTTTTTCTTTTGATATATGAGTTGACTCTCCCCCTTTGAAAAAGTGAGTGGTACAAGAGAAAGCTATTTGAAAAAGTGAGTGGTACAAGAGAAAGCTAAGAGTGCCGCCTGACTCCTTGGTGAGAATCCTTACGTGGAATGTGCGTGAGACTGAGTGATACTGCAGACCATTCTCTTCTATTCTCCTTTAGTGTGAGTCTCCTTTGTGTGAACTTGACAGGTGAGTAGAGAGAGCTGCTAAGCTTGATGAGTGGTCGAATTCTAAACAATCTTGGAGTGGTGTGTGTCAGCCTATTGATTTAGGTTGAAGACCTAAGCTGGAAATACACACCCAACATTTTTTGTAATAAGTTGTCTTAAAGTAAACATGTATTACCTTATGATATGATAGAAACTAGAAATATTTTTATTGTCTTACTTTTTGCATTAGTACTAAGATAATGGGAATTATATTGTGGGATCATTACACCGTGTGCATGGTGTATGGTCCCAACATGATATCATTTAATTAATTAAAAAAAGAGTGCAAATAATCATCTTCTTCTCCAGCAATTTGTTCATATTCTTCGCATAGTTGTCCGACCATCTATTCCTCCTTGTCGTCGATTTGTCTAGTCATCTATTGATCTTCTTCGCTTATCTCCTGGTCATATCCTTCTTTGACGCTTGATTTTTCTTCTTTTCTTTTCTTCTCCATTAATTCAAAATTGAAGTTTGATTAATATGGCTTACAAGGATGGATTTAGGGGGGGGGGGGGCGACCGCCCCCTTGGACTTTCAAAATTTTGTAATATATATGTAATATTTTCAAAATTTAGTTAGATATATATGTTTTCGCCGCCCTTATCTTTTAGTTTTCAAAATTAATATATAAGCTCACTGCAATACTTAATTGGAGATTTAAAAGAGGTAAAATCTAAAATAATTTAGATAATTGAAACAAATAAACAATAGAACAACTCATTGTTTAAGACTTAGGATACCTATGATATCAAAAATCTTAGTTTTGTAATGTATTTGATTATCTTTATTAGATAATTAGTACTCAATTTTGTAAAATATCAATGATATTAAATATCAAACACAATAGTTGACCAGTTTTTAGATGATGTAAAGTGAATCTAAGATATAAATGTTTGTTGACAATAAATTACATAATCAATTTACTTCTTACTATGTAAAAAAACAATTGTTGCATAGATAATAAACTTTAACTTATTTTAGCATTAATACATATATAATATGCACCATGTATATATGAATTAACAAAACTACGTATCATATTATTCTAAAACTAATAATCTCATACATATTATTGTAATATTAAGAAAACTCCTCGTGATCCTTGAATACCCTCCTTCGTAGACAAAATGCAATTCAAAAGCCGATTCTTTATTCTGATAAGATTCATGTGGTTACACAAATCAGAAATTATTTGAAAAGCATTTGTCAATGTGTACCTTTTAAACTCTGTGCCTTCAAATAATTTGATAAAATGTTATATCTTTTCTTATTTTCAAATAATTTTCTAGAGCACTAACAATTATTAAATCAAAGTTATTTTGCCATTGTCCTAAATTATAATGAAATATAATAGATTTAAATATCATCGTGTATTTACTCATGGAATTTTTTTGAACAAAAATTACCCGCAGAGTCCCACACTAGAGAAACAAACTTACCCCGCTACACTAGCGAAAATTTTTTCACCCTGCTACACTAGTGGAAATTTTTTTACCCCCTACACCAATGAAAAAATTTCGCCCCCTTGATTCGAAATCCTAGATCCGTCCCTGATGGCATAACAATTCTTATTTGTATTTGAACGCGTGCGAACATTGGTTCAAGTTATATGTGTGTGTATCTTATACGGAGTATTAGACTTTTTACATTTTGACTTGCCTCAAGTTACATTTCCATTAATGCGATTAACATTTTCACTTGTCTCAAGTTATATTTCATTTAGCGCGATTTACATTTCTGAATTGTCTCAAGTTTACATTACGCATAAGCATAAGTAGTGCATAATACTCGATTTACATCTCGACTTACCTGAAGTTACAGTTTGCATATATGTGATATACATTTCATATATGAAAGGTGAGAGCCACATATTCCCTTTTTTTCATTCAGCATCCTCATCTCTTCCTCATTTGTCCTCAATTCATCGATACTTACTCAGATTTTTTCCTCATCGTCTTCATCTGTTGTTTATTTCTCAATAAATTTCTTACTCCGTATTTTATTTCTCCGAAATGGAAGACATGGACGGTTCCGGTTCGGGCCCGGTTCGGTCCTGGGCCCGGCCGGGCCTCGGTTCAGAAATGGGAGGCCCGGAACCGGCCCGGGTAATCCCGGGTCCGGGTAATCCCGGGTCCGGGCCGGGCCGGTTCCGGGCCAGGCCTCGGTTCTATTTTTTTTTTGGCTTTTCCTAATTAACCCCCAACCCTCCCCCCTCAACCCCAAACCACCTCAAATGGCCCAAAATACCAAGGCCAACCCAAAAACTTAAAAAAAATTCAAAAAAAAAAATAAATTTGGCCCGAAGCGGGCCCAAACCGGCCGGGCCGGTTTGCCAATCAAAGGGACCGGGCCCGAACCGCACAGTAACCGGGTCAGGCCGACCCGAACCGCCCCCCAGACCGGTTCCCGGGCCGGGCCGCCCGCCCCGAGTCCCTACTCCCTAACATGGACGGCAACAGTATTGAACTTGCTCCGCTTACTACCCTCGAGCTACAACCTCGGATTATGTGGCCCTAGATACTCCGACACACGTTCTTGCAGATAGTGTGGTTCAAGATCAACGAGAATAATTTCCAGTGAAGGATGTGGTGTTTTCTATCCTATGTCGTGTTTATTTTCTGATAATCGAAAATATGGGCTGGCAGTAGGGATGGACTCGGGCCGGGCCAACCGGCCCGGAACCGGACCGGCCCGCTACTGTGCGGGCCCGAACCGGCCCGGTGAACCGGTTCTTGCCCGGTTCGGGCCTCCGGCCCGGTGGTATAGCGGTCCGGGCCCGGGCCTCCAGTTTAGTGAACCGGCCCGGTTCGGGCCGGAATTTAAAAAAAAAAAAATTTTTTAAGTTTTGGGTTGGATTAGGTATTTTGGGCCATTTGAGGTGGTTTGGGGTGGAGAGTGAGGGGTAGGGGGTTAAATAAGAGAAGAAGAAAAAAAAATTAAAAATCCGGGTGGCCCGGCCCGGACCCGGAACCGCCCACCACCGGTTCGGGCTCGGGCCTCATTTTTCTGAGCCGAGGCCCGGCCGGGCCCGAACCGGTCCACCCCTAGCTGGCAGAGAGTTTGTTTTTTCTATCTGTGTATTTATTGCTGTAATTTCTACGGATATAGCACTTTCCTTTTTTTCTTTTTCGAAAATTTCTACGGAACTTAATTTAAAACAAAAAGTTGAAAATTGCTTTTCTTTAAGAAATACTACGTAGCAAACACTCATTAAAAGGCGCCAGACATTTCTTGAGCATTAGTGGCACATAGCCCCAGGCCCCCATATGTACCAATTATGTAACCTCTTTACTCTGTTAACATCAAGGACTACACAACTTACAATAGTCATGCCTGTTGGTATATATAGGGTAATAGCATCAACAACAAACTTCACATACATACAATCACAGTGAAGGAAGCTAAGGAAAATGGTAGAACTCAACTAGTAGTAATATATTAATTGTGAGTTATTTCATACCGGGATCCATGCATAGAATAATTTAATCACACATTAGATGAAAATTAAGGAATGGAAGAAAGTTGAAACCAAAGAAATTGGACACAAGACCATTCTAGCTTCTACTCCATTCTCCCATCAGAGTCAGAAATGCCATCCCCTGCATGCCTGCTGACCAAATCGACCATATAGAGTTAGTGTTTTCGGGGTGGGGGTGGGGGTGGAATATCTGAGCTTTTAGTTTCAGCTTATATCTATTAAATCAATCCCCCTTTCTCTGTTTATATTCTCCTTTCGCCCTTCCATATCAGGAAAACCAATCATGTTAACCTGATTTGCATTTTCATTATACAATATCAATCCTGTAATGGGACAAGGCTAGAAAGTAGAAAAAATCTCACACCAGCGTTGTTTCATGATATTTTCCGTATAAGACAGAATAACTTGGGATAAAGACGTATTTTGGAATTTCATAAGATGTACTACCTCTGTCCCATTAGAATATTCTCATTTGAAAATGACACGCGTATAGACAATAGTCACATAAAGGAGTTTGAATATAGTTTGAGAAGTAGTTTGTGTGGTTTTATAATATAGTGGGATAATTGATAATAAAGTCGACATTTAAGAGGGAATTATTTCCTAAAATGGAATGAGAACCTTTTATGGGACGTCCAAAAAAGACAAGTGAAAACCTTGTAATAGGACAGAGGGTGTACATAATAGGCATAAAATAGATAAACAATTTTAATAAAAAACTAAATAAAAGTTTGGCAATACTAGTTGTTATGTTCAACTTTATGTACACTTTTATAGTTTTATAAAAGATAGGAGATTAGGAGGTACCATTCTGCCTTTTTAAAAAGGTTGAGACAAAAGGGCATTTGGCGCAAAACTTTGTTATCAGTACTTGTCATTAATTTATAGCAAGGGAAAATTACTATTAGCCCCCTGAGGTTATGTCATAATTATTAATGCAACCCTGCATTTTCAAAAACCAATTAATTACCTCCCTGAGTTCGGATCATTCTCATTCTTTGCCCCCTCAACACATTCTATCTTTCAGGTCTCTTATTGATTCTAGACCTATCTTTTAGGTCATGGAATGGAATGATAAAATTCATTTTTTCTTGGTATTTCTTCTTTGCTACACACAAATGAAATATCATTGAGATTAATTCAACCGAATGAATTACAAATAATTATTTTATATTCATGGCGAAGAAGTGTCTAGAGTGTTGATAACACATTTTTTAAACAACTTTCTTCGATGCATCCCATGAATATTACTCGTGAGTCTTCCTCTAAACTACTCTCATTAATAGTTATTCCATGATCAATTAGCTAATAAGTAGAAAAATAACGATCAAGAACAATGACTTATAATTAATTTTATAGGCAACTTTCATTGAATTTAAGAGTTATATTAAATTTAATTTAACAAATATTAATGTGAGGGGGGATATAGTGAGAATGATCAAAACTCAGGGGGTAACTACTTGCTTTTTGAAAATGCAAGGTTGCATTAATAATTATGACATAACTTGAGGGGGCTAATAGTAATTTTCCCTTATAGCAATATTCTAAAAAACTAAAGACTGGGGCCTAGGGAAATAAACGTAGACGGACAGGGAAAGCCATTCTCGCCCCCAACCTGTTGGGATTGCTGTGTTCATGCACATTCCACACACAAAAATGTAATTCAAAAGAATTCCATGACAAGAGAGGGTTAAAACGAACCGCCAAGAGCTTGTAAGGTTCCGAGCTTTTCTATCAAGCTGAAGGTTTTCTAACGCAGCTGAAGCACGCACGACATCCTCTGCATCCTCATCACTATCATATCTCCAGTTGTATTCCTCTTTCCTACTGTAACCTGACATTGATGATGATCCTGCTCTCCTGTCTATAACCCCCATCCCCATTAAATCCATAAAGCCAAATCATTTGCTAAACCGCTGACTACCAATAAAGTGTATAATGCTACTACATACCAGACGTTTGGGAAGAAGGAAGTGGCCTGCAAATATTTGAATACCTCAAAGTCACACATATTAGAACAGAAACAGAATGCATAGACAGGTAACGGAATTGTATTAGTAAGGCACCTTCCCAATGGAGGTAGGCCCCCAGCAATAGATGAAGGCCGCCTAACGTTCCTTGTTTCTAAACTCGGCAGTGATTCTCCATCTAATGTGGGTAATCTCCTTCCGGCACCCCTTGCTTGGGATAAATTCTGAAACAATAATAAGAAATATAACATTCAATTTGTAATATAGTTCCAATAAAAGAATATCACCCTTCACAGACAAGCTTCTACCAATGACTTCTATCATTATTTTATCGTTTATCTTAACACAAATGAAATAGAAAATAATTGAAATGATGGTGAAGGAGTGCAATAAAAGCATAGAAACAATTGGCAATCCTATACTTGGCAGAGATATTGAAAACGACTACAGACAAAACATAATGCTATAGTAAACATGTGGTCATGCGCACAAGTAAAAGAGCATTATGATTTAGTGAAGATTTTCTCGAACCTCATACTTCAAGAATCCTTCAAGGACATCCAAAAGCAGGGGACCACTGTCTCCATTCCGGTTAACATCATACCCATTCTTGTTACTAAAATCTTTTAGCTCAGATTTCCAGAAATCTTTCGGCTGAAGCAGCGAAGCATACCCACCAAAAAATGTCAGAAATGGATTGAAGTGGTGGAATCAATTTGATAGAGTATAATGGATACCAGAAGACAATGCAGTATTACCAAATTACATTCTGGCAAATAAACTTTTGACGTATGGTTCAGCTGAGCCCAGTCCAAATATTCACATATGAGTGCAGTTAGTAGCCTTCCTACAATTGATAAATACCAAAAAAAAGAGTAAAAAGAAAATTAGAAAGTCATTAGCAAATAAATATAACGTACACACTAAATAGTTTTCTCCTCATAACTATTCAATCTGAACAGCAGAGCTTGGACAAGTAACTATTATAAAAGGCCAAAGTTAAAAGCAAATTGTATCATTATAATGTTATGTTCAAAGCACGCAGTAAAAACATAAATCTACCCAGAAGTGTGGCACTTAGTAGAAATGGGGAACTACAAAATATAGAAATAATTAGTGCCAGTTTTGTAACACAAGATCAACCAAATATTCAACCATATGCTAACTTAATTCAATGCGCTGAAGAAATCAACTGAATTAGAAAATACTGCGGAAGTTAGTTCAATAGACTTAAATGGATGGATCATGGATTAAAGGAAGACTTTACCCTATACTATTAGATAATTAGACTTAAATGGATGGAATGAAGAAGAAAGACTTTACCCTATACTATTAGATAATACAACTTATTTTTAGTTAATTCAACCAAGGCACAAGCTTTTACCTGTTATGAATCATCACTTATATGGCATACCCCAAAAGTTATTTGCAAGATTGTTTGGAGTGAATGAATAAAACCAGAGTTTACAGGAATTTTACTTCAAAAATAAAGTTAACTTTTAAAACAGAGTATTATAAGGCAAAAATAGTTCTTGATGCACGACTCTTTATTGGGAGAGGGAGAATTCCTTGTAAGTTGTAACTCATCAAGAAATTACATGATTCAGCTCATCCAGTTATTTTAACTAAGTTTTGCCCTCACCAACAGACAACTGTCCCTTTTTTATATAGCATACACATTTCTCTAACACCCTAAATTGATGACAAATCCCCCCCCCCCCCCAATAAATAACTATGAGAGAGGTTTTAAATAACATCTGATGCCATTTAGGTAGGTGAGGCTATTGAATAAAAGGATATCTTAACCCATTATAAATTACATGAGAATATATACATCACGATTTAAAAGGTGGAGCCAAAAAACTAACAGCCTTTGAGTGAAATATATTTTGCCAACCATTTAATATAGAAAATAAACATAAAAATCTTTAAGTAGTGGAGACGCTACTCAAACTCTGGGAGGGATATAAGGACACCCCCCCCCCCCAAATGTTTTAATGATTTCATTTGTGTTTTCCATCTCTAGAAGTTTGCTACATAAGGGCATCCTCCAGCACAAAACTTTTACAATGTTTTTTTTGCATCAATTTTAATGCTGACTAATTTTTGACAAATAGTTGACACTACAATTTCTGGCTTGAGAATATGATGGAATAAAGCAAAATGTCTCACTAAATTGTCTGCACTTCTTTGTTATGAAGCTGCAGTCAGTCCATGCAATTTTGGCACGATTTTCACTTTGGGTCATCCGGAAACAGTCTCTCTGTGCTTTAGTACAGGGGTAAGACTGCGTACATCCGACCCCCCCTTACACCACCATAGGTGGGAGCCTTTGCGGCACTGGGGTAATGATGATGATGATGAGTTGACACTACAATTGTATGCCACCGTGCCAAGCACAGTGGGATTAATGTGATGAATCATCAACTGATGATGATGATGATGATGATGATTAAACATTAAACAAAATATTACACCACTAAATTCCCTCTTCAGCAGTGTTAATTCATGTAAAGGCTGATGGAGATGTTTTTAGAGAACATCTAAAAAACAGAGAACATTTGACTAAGATCCTAAGCAGCACATAGCTTAGAAAAACTATGCTCGGCAAGCGTTTTCGTTCAAGTGTTTAACCCTTCTTGTTTTCAAAAGGTACTCCCATATAATGGTAAATGAAATGATTTCACAAGAATAAGATGAATAAGATATTACTCCGCGTGGATTCAATTAAACCTGATGGTGAATTATGGAGTTGTTTAGCACGATCATTACAGCTACCCAACAGAGCAGGAGGCAAGCCTTCTTCCTTTTCAATCACTCTATCCTCTTCCTCGATGGCCTCAAATACACTTGCTCTGAGTTCAGCCTGAAAAGGATATCCGGAAAATGAAAATAATGAGATTGGTTGAACCATATTCTCAAGCCACATTCATGGGAGAAAGTCAAAGATGGGAGAAAAATCTAAAGTCAAAGATGCAACAATGGCAAACAAAGAATCATTTGTTTTTATATAGCCATAGACCCATAGTAGCAATGATTTTAAACATCTACGACACTTAACATGCATTCTCAACACTGTTTCCCCTAAGTCTAAGTTTTTTCCCAATGAATGTTTTCTCTAGTACTGAGAAACTTGAGATAGAATAATACTCACGCATAAACACATAATTAGTGAAAATACTACAGATGGATCATCTATTGGTTATAATGTTACATTACTGACCATAATGACACTTCAAAAGTAGCCAACATGAAAGCCTGGCATAACGTAGTCTTAATTCTGATAGGGCCCTGGGCTTATCAAATTCAAAATTAATTTTGAAAAGCTTGCACCAGGCGTGACCATAAAGAGTGGACGCCTTCCTCACTTCCCTCCTTTTCGCGCCTCAGGAGGCGAACACATCAGCTACCTCAGGGATTGTCATCAACTTAATGATTTATTTCTTGCTGACTTTTCTAGAATTTTTGTAATGGAGCCAAAGACTCACTATTTTTTACTTAGGAATATGATGGAATAAAGAAAAATGGCTCACTAAACTGTGTGCGCTTCTTTTTTATGAATCAGGGCAAGCAGCAGTCAGTCCATGCAACTCTTGACACGGTTTTCATCATGGGTCATCCGGAAACAGTCTCTCAGTGCTTTAGTATTGGGGTAAGGCTGCATACATCCGAACCCCCTTACCCCACCGTTGGTGGGAACCTTTGCGGCACTGGGGTAATGTTGTTGTTGTTGTTTGACTTTTCTAGAATTTTCTTCTTTAAATAAGAGGTTGTGTACTTCCCACTTCCCAGAGTCCATAAGACCATAACAATTCCATCTCTTCTTCTTTATCACAATCCAAACTCTTCCCCTTCTCTTTGCAAGTTGCATCGCATATTCACATTTGGTCCCTCTTTCACCGAAGTTGTTTTCTTTCCTTTCAACTTGGACTTCTCTTAATCTCATCCTACCTTCCTCTCTTTATCTATACTATTTCCCCTGTTCTCCGTTATGATTGACTCGTGCTCTCCTGTTTTATTGCTCCCATTGCATATAGAGCAGTCCGTGCTCATGCTCTGCTTTCTCTTTTATTGGCTAATTACTTTCTGAACTATGATCTGTGTGCATGAATATATGTGTTGCATGCCGAATTTTGTATTGCCTTTATTTTAACTAGAAGTCTTAAAAATGATTTGTAATATTGCTGGCAGTCAAAAGCGGAAGCCTTAATAAACTAGAAACCTTAATATAATCTTGTCACTAACTTGTGTGTTTAATGGCTTATTTTATTTGTATCCCTGTATCATTATTTTTTAGTAGAAGGTATCATGTAAAAGTAGTATACATCTATAAATATCGTTTATTAAATCCATATGCTACGTTCCCTGAGGCGCATGCTTCAACTTCAGGACTAGAGGTCTCGAGTACATTTAATAAAAACTACTTATGCCTACTCGGGCCCTTTAAAACTAAGCCGCCCAGGATTCAAATTAATGCTCCAAAAGTCCAAACCAGTCTTGGTTTAAATCAGATGGAGACCGACAGAGAAAGAGATGTGGAGTATAAACTAGCCTCCCATTAAACAATGTGCCTTTCATTTCAGCCTTTCAGGTTCTAGCAAAAGAAAAGCAAGCACAAGAAAAAAGTTCCCCCAATTGGAGGATTCGTAACCCTAATTCCATTTTTAAAAATTGATACTTTGGTACATCTCCATCTGAGACGCAACTACGACAGCACCTCTTATTTGGAAAGTTTCAAAGTGATGTATGCACTTAGAAGCAACCAGATCCAAGAAACATTTGAATCATCTGCACACTCACAAATAGAGCACGTGCCCATGAAACTATAGAAATGTAGACAGATAAATACCCGGATCTTAGCGAGAACGCCTTTCTTTTCTAGGGTTCGAGTGACGAGTGTTTTGAGATCCATCATCTCTCGTGTATAATCGTCCATTTTTATTGCTCTTCTCCTTCGCTGAGGTGAGCTTCCAGCGGAATGTTGCTGCTTGGTCTGGAAAGATATTGTAGAAACACCACACTAAAAAACCAGTTGATGTTCCTGATACCAGTGGACAAAAAAAGAGAGGTTTTTTGAAGTACTTTGAAATCTTATGATTTTGACATGTCCTTAGCTCATAATAATTCTAATCTAAATAAATTACAAATAATTAATGAAAATAAAATATTACACCAAAAGTGTGTAATTTACACAACTAAAACTAATAAATGGACTCCTAGAACATACATAAAGCAATACTATTCCCCGGCAACGATGCCAAATTTGACGAGCACTTTGTCACGGTGCGTCAAAATAAATCCAATACTAACACTTATACGTAGTATAGCGTAGTAGAGTTCGTATCCACAGGGAAATGAATAATTCTCTTTTTATAAAACTAGTAAATAAAAGGGGGTTTTAGGATTGAATGATTTACTTTTATTAAACACAAAGATGGACAACTTATATGTGATTTAATTCAAAAATAAAAAGAACTTGGCATTGCTACTTTCCACTTGTTGATATATTTTAGTCGATCTACTGATTAAAAGGTCAGCAACGACTAAATTTCATTCCTAGGCGGACGGTTTTCCGCCGATTTCTCGGTCCGGGTGGCCGATTAGTCGGCTGAGCGACTATAGGAGCGAGCAACATAAAATCTCTACGGGATGAAGACGCCTAGCGAATTTCCGGCGCCTAGGCGGCCGATTAATCCGAGTTTTAGAACCATGACTGAAAATGTGGTTGGTTGTAAGTGGATTTATAAGACAAAATATCTTTCCGATGGGTCTGTTGAGCGTCATAAAGCTCGGTTAGTTGCTCAGGGTTTTAAACAACAGGCCGACATTGATTTCCTGTCGTTAAACCTACCACTGTTCGTCTTATTTTGCTTGTTGTTATTTCTTTGGGATGTTCTGTTAGACAACATGATGTGAAAAATGTTTTCTTACATGGTTACTTAACTGAAGAGGTATATATGTGTCAACCCCAAAGTTTTGTTCATCCCTCATTTCCTAATCATGTTTTTCGCCTACGTAAGGCTCTGTATGGTCTAAAACAAGCCCCTAGGGCCCGATTTCATCGTCTCAGTGGGTTTTTGTTGAGTTGTGGTTTCTCTCAGAGCAAGTCTGATTCGTCCATGTTTATTTACCGCTCTCAGTCACAAGTTGTTTATATTCTTTTATATGTGGACGATATTCTGATCATATGTTCTTCTCCCTCGTTTGTTAAGTCTGTCATTCACACCCTTTTTCTTCAGTTTGCTATGAAGGATCCGGGAGACCTTCATTATTTTTTAGGCATACAGGCCCATCGCACACCTCACGGGTTATTCTTGTCACAGGAAAAAAATATTTTTGATCTGTTACATCGATTTCATCTCCATACCATTAAACCAGTACACACTCCACTTCCCCCACGATTACTCTCTCTCACACAGATGGGGAACTTTTATTTGATGCTACTGAGTATCGCAGCATGGTAGGTCATCTTCAGTACTTAATAATAACTAGACTTGTTATTGCATGTGTTGTCCATCTAGTGTCTCAATTTATGCATGCTCCACGTACTACTCATTTATTAGCTATAAAGAGAATATACAGGTATCTACAGGGCACTTCGAGTCATGGACTGTGGTTGCGGTCTGACAGAAATATTTCTGTTATTATGGCTTATTCCGATGCAGATTGAGTTGGTTGTCCGGACAGCTCACGCTCCACTACTGGCTACACCGTCTTTCTGGGTTCCAATTTAATTTCTTGGCGGTCCAAGAAATTATAATTGGAGAGTACAGGGCCATAGCTTATACTGTTCAGGACACACTCTTTGTCCGTTCACTTTTAGCCGACATGGGAATTTTTATATCTGCTCATGTTCAGCTTCATTGTGATAATGTGTATGCATCATACTTGGCGATGAACCCCATTCAGCATGATCGTAACAAGCACATCAAGATTGATTATCACTTTGTCAGAGAATGTGTGGCACATGGAGACCTTGTTGTTGAATACATCCCTACTCAGTTGCAGCTAGGTGATATATTTACTAAGAATTTATCTAGTCAGTTTTTTGAATTTTTGCGTTCCAATCTGGGCGTTGTTTCCCCTGCACAAATTGAAGGGGTGCAATAATTTATTTATCTAGAGATTACTTTGTGATTTACATAACTCTGTTTTATTATAATTAAATACAAGGTTACAACACCCAATAGGGTAAGCCATTATTTTCCGGCCCAAATTCTATTATTTTGCATAACATGCACGGGTAGATCGAAAGTATGTTCGTCTTTAGCTTAGCTAGTGTAGGTTTTTGAATCGAGTCTTTGACTCTCTTTTTCGAAGTTTCAATTAAGTTCAAACCTTTCGAAGATGGAAATCGAAGTTTGTAAGTGAGGATTTAATTGAGGGATCCGATCGATTCTAGTCTAATATAATGGCAAAAAGTGCATGTTCCATAGTGGATCGGTCTATATATGGAAGCCAATGGCCGGACATCTCTTCAAGCAAAATTAAGTAGGCCTAAGGTTTTCTTATTTGTTAACGTACTTGTAACAATTCAAGTTAATCACTTTGACCTTGGCTTTATAATAAGAAACAATTATCCCCCATATGACTAAAACTCTTTCACTTTCCCAATCTATGACCTAACTAGTTTTTTCCCCAAAATAATACCTAAATTCATATTATTTAATAATAATTCGTTATTAATAAATAAATAAATATTTTTATGGACAAATATACTCTTTACGCTATACCTATAAAACCTTAACATCCCTACTCTTTTTCTACAAAACCTAGCAACCAGCCACACACATCCACCCGCCTCCTGCGCTCACCGCACACCCTGTCGCCGACATCCCCCGGACCACTGCACGCACCCATGACCGCCGCCCACCAGTCCACCTCTAGTTCCACGCTTGTTCGCCGCCGTCGCCGCCAACCGACCACGCCAGTACGCCACCGCCATCCCTACACCTGCGCGCCGCTGTCGTCCCGAGCCGTGGGTGCCGCCTCCATCCCAATTCATGCTCGTCAACATCGTCCCAAGCCCTGAGCGTTGCCGTCCTCGTCGCCGTCCAGCCGCACGATTGCACTCGATCCAACTCGTTGCCGCTCAGCCGCGCCCCTCTGCCGCTCCTACAACTCAGATTCTTCAGTCAAGGCGGCCAAGGTTGATGGCGAACCGAGGTTGAAGATGAACCTAGGTTGAAGACGATGAAATAAGTGTGCAATGAATAATTTATATTTAATGTCGTGAACATTACAAGAAGCGCAATGAGTTATGACAAAACGTGCAATGATATGGCAAGAAGTGCAATAATGTAAAAAGTGCAATGACATGAAAAGAAGTGCATTAAAAATGACATGAAAAAATATCTGTAAATTTGTAGCATTATATGTAATATTTAACCAAATGTAAGAACTAAAGTTATGAAATCTAAAAAACGCTAAATTCATTTTATGTAATGTTATGTCGTGCAGTGAATACAGCCATAAAGTGCAATAAATGTAGTGCAATAACGCCTTCATGAAGTGCAATATTTTTACCCGGACGAAATTAGTGTAAAATGCACATTTTATAAAAAAGGGTATTTTTGTCCTTCCACAATTTAATATAACGAAAAATTCTTTTTTTTTTCGATTTTTGGTCATATTTCGAGAAAAAAACATAACTAGTCACATTTCGAGAAACTCACTTTGTTTTAGTGTCATATCCCGGGAATTTTTCCTTATAATTAAGTAATTTCACTATGTTTGATTATGAAATTCGATCGAGATGCTAGCATGCATATGAAACGTGGAATCCATTAATTGTTGTTGATGTTTGCATGTGTTGTCATTCATGAATATGTGATTGTAATGCCATTCTCCTCATCGTCGTCCCTTCATGAATTAGGCCGGATTGGTGTGTGGAAGCTAGGATATAAAAAAAATTGGTATTACTCTGATCGATCAACATCACCAGAAGATGAAGATTTCAGTTGCATTGGGTGTTAGCCAATTGCATGTGCTCCACGGCCCGATCGGTGTTCACCCTCTTTGGGCATTGAAAGAGGGTGATGTGTAGTGAATTTCAAAGCAGTCGACAGTGTCACAATTCAATATGCTCCTCCAATTCCTTTTATTTCTTCTTTTTATTGTTTAATACTACCTCCGTCCCTTATAACTTTGTCAAATTTGACCGGCACGGAGAATAATAAGGTAAAAAAAACTGTGTGGTTGAGGTTTGTGCATAGGAGAGAGAAATAAACAACAGAAACCACAAATTAATTGATTAAAAGGAAAAGTGACAAAGTTTTTTGGGAGGTCCCAAAAAGGAAAGATGACAAAGTTTTAAGGGACGGAAGGAGTATCATTGAGCAGTAATGTCACCATGAAGGGCAGCGACATCAGCAACGGCAGTAACATTGGTGAGAGGAGAAGTAATTAATAAGGTTGATGGGAAGGGCAAGGATTCAAACTAGAAGTGCAACGATGTCATGCAGTAACGTCGTTATGAAATACTGACATCGAGAAATCTGATATGGTGTATATATAGGCCTTTTTATTCCAATATTACTAAAAATAGAATAAAAGATAAAAAAGTGATCTGTTTTTAAAAATCCCAAAAAATGTGACCCAATCATAATTAACCCTGCAGGCCAAAGTGACCCCACTGACCACAGTGACTGCCCCACCGATCACAGTGACTGCCCCGCCGCCACAGTGACTGCCCCGCCGCCACAGTGACTGCCTCGCCGCCACAGTGACTCCGGCGCCACAGTGACTACACCGCTACAGTGGCTTCGCCATCACAGTGACTACGCTGCTACAGTGATTTCACCGCCACAGTGACTACGCCCCGCCAGTGACCGCGCCGCCACAGTGAATGCTTCCCCCGGCCAGTGACCATCGCCTCCGACCAGTGACCGCCCCGATTAGTGAATGCTATCATCGCGCCAATGACTGCCTACGCCCCCTCAGCCAGTGACTGTCGACGCACCTATTCAGAGTTGCCCCCGCCCTCGTCCAATGACTGCCTCCTCCTCTAGGCCAGTGACTCCCGCCATTCTGCCTCCGCCCATCGCCGGCCATGTCCTTTGCCTAGGTCACTGGCGAGATGCCTGGCTA